ACCCATCACACTGATACCTGCAAGGCTAAGTATTTTTTATAAAACAAACTAAAGAACTATGTCAGCCTTCTCTTAGTTGAGAAAACATGATTCCTTCCATCCCTAATACATATATTCCTTTAAAATACAAGTTTACAAGCCTATGACAAGTGATCATGTTAAACTTACTAAAAACAAGTCTAAATGCTTGAACCTGAAAATTTCAAACATTTCAAAAATATACATTTTACAAAATGTTGCTATATAAAGATCAGTATGGTAATCTCCATTTTATATTAAGGTAGCCAAAATGAAGAGGATTATATTATTGTAAAAGTCTTTTTATAGAGTAATAAAATAGCATTGTGTGGTCACCAGATAAGGCTTAAATTGTGACCTTCTAACAAATAATGTAATGATGTGATTCAATCTTAACAGAAACTCATGGGTGTATGTCAATAAAATGAAAAGCCTATGCTTTTAAACTTTTTTCTTATCTCCTGAAGTTACTGTGAAAAAAGCAAATTAGTATGAATTCAGTATTAATACAAACTCAATGCACATATTTTAATACCCTGTCAAGATAACCTTAATAACATTCATTATCAGGTAATGTTAATTTCTATTAAAATCATGGATCTTCAGAACTCTTGTCTGTAACATAAAAAAGAAAAATAAGCCATGAATCAAAGTTTAGTCAACATTTAAAATAAAGGCTATTTTCTGAACTTTATGCCCTAGGTTATAATGTAGGGGATCTGTCTATAGACTGTCTAAACACATCTGGGTGACCCACAGGTTAACTTCCCAACCTACTTAGTTGTCAAAAAGAATATTATCCAAGTTGCAAATCATATTGTATGTAATAATATTTAGAAACCACAACCATTGTCTCCTCTTTAGAAATTCGGTGTCTGTTCTCTTTCTGAGTCACCAATATTTAAATAACATGATCATAAGGTTCTGCATTTTTCAGGGCCGACTTTTAAGTGCAACACTATTCATTGTTTCAGAGGCTAGTTCTATGAAACTCCTTTCCTCTCTGAACTTCAACCTATTTCTGTTTTTGAAATAATTTACAGCCACCCTACACACACACACACACACACACACCCACCCAGATATACACAAAACACAGTTTTGGTTTTTTGGGGGGTAAACAAAAAAGCTACTGCAGTAGCTCTCTTAACCATTAAGTACTAAAGAGAAAAAAATAAACCAAAATTTATAACATTTTCTGTTAGAATGAAAATTATTTTCAAATAGTCACACATATGGTTGTCTGTCAATATGTGTTGAATATATAAAGGCATAATAAAAAACAGAATCTTATAAATAGCCTTGCAGGAAAGTCTTTGCTGAAATCCTCCAAAAAAACTACCTGCTTTGTAATGAAATAAACATATATTATCTACACTAGGGTAGCACATACTATTATTTATGATTATATTTTTATACTATTTTAAAAAATAGGGGCCCGGGCCCTCCCTGGTGGTGCAGTGGGTTAAAGCACTGCACTGAGAATCTAAAGCCACTTCCACATGAGTTCGATCCCCGCCTGCCCCGGAGGTGACCACATGGCGTGGCAGACCTCTCCTGACCCGCCCGCTGCTCCCCTCAGCAGTGTACTTCGTCAATCTGCCTGTTCTGCTTCCCACTCTGTCCCTGGTGAATCCTCTCACCCTCCGCATCTCTGGTCTGTACCCCAGTTCTGTACAAATAAATAAATAAATCTTTAAAAAAAAAAAAAAAAATAGGGGCCCTCCTTGGTGGTGCACGGGGTTAAAGCACAGTACTACCAAGCTATCTGCAGTTCGATCCCCAGTCAGAGAGGTGACACATGGTGCAGCAGACCTCATCTATCCTACCCTCTGCTCCCCTCATCAGTGTGTTTTAGTCAGTCTGCCTGTTCTGATCCCTACTCTGTCTCTGGTGAGTCCTCTCACCATGCCTGCAATCTCTGGTCTGTACCACAGTTCTGTATGCATAAATAAATATTTTTTTTTTTTTAAATTGAAGTTGTCAAACTGCTTAACATGGAACTTCCCTATGACCCAGCAATTCCACTCCTAGGTATCTACCCAAAAGACACAAAAACACCGATACAAAAAGATATCTGCACCCCATGCTTATTGCTGCTTTATTTACATTTGGAAAACATGGAAGCAGCACAAATGCCTAAAAGTAGATGACTGGATTAAAAAGATGTGGTACATATACACAATGGAATGAATATTACTCAGCAACCAAAATAAAAGAAACACATGTCTTTTGCAGCAACATGGATGGAGCTGGAAAAGATCATGCTTAGTGAGATAAGCCAGAAATAAAAAGAAAAATACCGAATGGTTTTGCTCATTGCAGGAGTATAATGGACCAGGCGAGAAAAATAATAAGAATAATGAACAACCATATACCAGAGACATTTTGTGGGGGCGGAGTGGGGAGTGGGGAATGGGATCAAAAACGGGGGAGGGGGGGGAGAAGTGCACTGGACTATGGTGATGGCACACGGGTGACTCGGTGATGGGAAACACATGGGGATTACAATTGAGATGGAAAAAAAAAGTACAAAATGATGTAAAAATAAACTATTATATTATAAAAAAAATTGAGGTTGATTTATAATAGCTGTGTATGATTCAGAGTTAGTCTAAGTTCATACCGCTTTAGATATGTTACCACACCATGACCTATTTCTTTTTAATTACACTATTTTTTTCCACAAGATAGTAGAATTATACCCTATGTTAAAAACAATTTCAAAGTTTACAGAAAATTGGAGAAAAATAAGTATTTCATAATAAACTCTTATTAAAAAATACACTGATATTTTGTAAACATCCTTAAAATTACTCTAAGTATCTATCATGTACTAAAGTTAGATATATATGTAACTCCACAAATCAGTAATTCATTTCCTGTGTTTATTAAATTCATCAGAAACTAATGCTTATTTCTACTGAAGTATACAAAGAAGTTCATATCATTCCTATTTAGAGCCCGAAACTAGAAATATTGATATATTCAACACCCATTTATAGCACAAGGGACAAATGATGAAATGGTCATACAATGAAATAGAAATGATGAGAGAGGGGGACGATTATACACAGGGGTGACTCACAAACATAATGTCGACCCAAAAAATACGACACAGAAGAGTTCATACTGCATGATTCCAATTGTTAAAAGTTTAAAAACAGACTTAACTAACCCATGGTAGAAGACTGGTTTCTGCTGGGTAGAGGCAGTATTGACTAGGCAGTATTGACAGATTTCTAAGGAAGACGTTAAATATGGAGGCTATGCTTCATTAAGAATCCTCAAAAAAGCAAGGAAGAATGTGTATTTGACTCTATAAAGTTATATGTGAGGGTAAATTTTTTTAAAATAGTTTTTCTAACAAAAAAAGGATTGACATTGAATTATTTTCCAAAGAATTACTTCCAACCAATTTCTATCCTGAATTTACCTGAGAATCTTTCTACTTAACCCAGCAGCTAAACTTAATTTCTTTGTATTTTTTTAACAACAACAACAACAACAAAAAACCAAACCAGTTCCATTCTATTCAAACATAGTCTTAATTTTGTGATTACATGATAAATCTCCATAAATGGGTAACTCAAAACAGCTTTATAAGAACAACTGTCATCTTTATAATTAATACATATAAGCCATTTGAATGTTTACTTCTTTAAATATTTAATTATAATATTGTAATCATTAATTCTTATTTTCATTTAAAAAAATAACCTTCAAATTCAGATTTTCTGATTGTATCATTACTTTCACTGATGAAGTATTAAGTACTAAAACTTAAATTTAATAGTTGATGATTCATTTACAAATTCTTTCACAATTCTACTTATGTTTATTTAAAGTTCTTATTTGCTATTGCCCACCCCCATAACTAACAGGAGGGAAGAAAATACTGCTTTGCCAATACTAAATGATCTCAAACACAGAGTTTCTGATTTAAAAGCTCAATATAATGTACTATGAAAATATAAGACTATATTCTTTGAATTCTAAATATTCATACTGCTTGACAAGTGATTACATTAAAAAAAATAAAGCTGACCTTTGTTATCTCATGTGATTATAAATCATAATTATCTAGTCACAGAAGTATATATTCAAACATGTTATTTACAACTTTAACAAATACATTATTTTGCTAAATTATTTATGTGTCCTTACTTCATCTATTTCTATTCCAAACAAATCAGCCAGTAAGGGGGGTATAACAGTAGATTCTAAGAACAAAATCTTGGATATGGCTGAGGGTACTGTCTTTACTGTTGGCTTTTGACTTTGACCAAATCAGCTGGTGCAAACACATGGGACCTTGGGGTTGCAATGACAAAAATGGAGCAAATGATTTTCTCAAATTATGAGCTTATCCTACCTGCCAAATAATGTATCACAAGTCCTGAGTCTCAGGGTCTCTAAGTAATGAATTACTATGCCGCAACTATCTAACCATATGTGATAATGCAAAGAAGGAATTTGTACACTGATGTTTAGTGGCAAAGTCAGACGGCCTCGCTCACTATACTCATCAATCCTTACGAAGACTCACGGCAGTTCAGCTGGTAGTGGCCCCTATATACTAGTAGACAGGGCTAACAAAGGCAGGAAGGATTTAAGACTGGCTGATTTTTAAATGTACTTCATATTCTCCCAAATAAACCAGAAATTCTTATCTCATTTCTGAATCAAAACATTCTTTGCAATAGTGCAATACTGAAAAGGCAAGATATAAACACTCTGTATTTTTAAAATAGACAAAAGTAGTTCCATCTAAATATCTTATTTATAAAACATCCAGAATTTACAAACACTGAAATACATTCCTCTTTTCTGTTACAAGTGTCAAACTACTACTGTATCAATATCAAAACTTAAAGAAAAATAAACAACAAAATAGTGTATAATAATGTTCCTTTCTTATAATTGTAAAGGTTTAATTAACTATGCTTTTAAAAATGGAGAAATGAGACAAAATACAGTACCTTCTGGATGTGTTTCTCCCAAATGTTAAAATAGTGAGTCTTGAAAACAGAGTTCTGAAATGGCTCACAATCCAAACACTCCCTGAAAATTAAGAGAAATAAGAGTTACTTCAAGTGCATCTTACCTTAAAGAATTTTGACAGCATGATTTACAACAGAATCTTAAGTAGAAAATAAAATAAAGCATCTCAATAAAACAACAGAAAAGACTCATTGCAAACAAAATGTTCTTAATCATACATGCTTTCCTTGGGCATAGCTGTTGACTACAGCCAATGGAAAAATTTGCACTATGAAAACATTTGCCAAAATATACTACATATCTGCTCTGTACTACATAAACATTATCTCCTCTTCTCAAGGATGTGAGCAAGTTTCTTTAATGATGAAGAGGAATTCTCATGAAGGATTCTGAGAAAAGTATTAGAATGTATCTAGTAGTCAACAACGCATATACACCTTACATATTTTTTCTAGATCAGTAAGAACAAAAAAAATATTAAACTCAGAATGAGAGTCATCCCTGATATAGAATGACATCAACATATGACAAAGTTTACACTTTCAGTAACAAAAAAGTTTTTGGCAACATGAGACACAGTCTATATATTACTACTGTGATGGCTGAGGTTTAATATTGATCAAGAGGCCAACAGAAAGTAAAGCTGGTTGGTGATAAGGAAGTAGGAATTCACTACAGCAGCACCCCATTTAAATCAGTCATTATATTACATCTGCTTTACATTTCCAGAATTCTCAATTCCTACTACCATAGCCTATGACCAAGTTTTCAAGAATTCACAACATAGTCCAAAAGTGAATCCATAAATCTGAAATTTAACCTCCCCAAATTAAGTAACTGTTTTTCATTACCAATTCATTTTACCAGTACCCATTATTCTCCTTCAAACTGTACAAAGGTATCAAATTTCTTTGATTGATGCTTCCTCAATATCCTAGTGAAGCAGACTCTTCTTGAACCACTATGCCTCTCTATCATTTTCTCTGTAGCTTACATATTATTATTCTCCCTGTAATTGTGAGACATTCATTTACTGTTGACTCCCTCAATACTTAGTAGGGTGCAAGGCACAAAGCCAATGTGCAGTGAATACCTGCTCAATGATTCAATGAATCTTAGAGCATTTATCTACTAATACACCACAGTGAAGTAAAAATAACACCATGAGGGGCCTCCCTGGTGGCGAAGCAGGTTAAAGCACAGCACTAAGAAGCTAAAGCCACTTCAGCATGAGTTTGATTCCAGCCCCGGAGGTGATCCACATGGCCCAGCAGACCTCTCCTGGCCTGCCTGCTGCTCTCCTCAGCGGTATACTTGGTCAGTCAGTCTGTTCTGTTTCCCACTCTGTCTCTGGTGAATCCTCTCACTGCCCCTACACCTCTGGCCTGCATCCCAGTTCTGTATGCATAAATAAATAAATCTTTAAAAAAAAATTCTGAAAATGGAAAATGTCTAGGATGTTTTTAAAAAATAATAATAATAATAATAATAATACCATGAACGTAGAGGTAGAGATGTAAATAACTGCAATGAAGAATACTTGTCTTTCTTTAGTGACATTATACATACTCTCAATCTGTCATCAGCAAGACTCTTATATCTATGGCAATGCTATTGAGATGTTAGGGGAAGGATGTCCTGAACAAATTCTACAGATAGAGGGTTTGTGGATTCTACCCCTACCCCAAGCACTGGAACTACAAATCCCAGCAACACCAAAGGGAGAACTGCTGGGACCTTACGGTGGAGTTAAGCAGAGATGTTTGGATATAAAACCAACGGTGGGCTTTGGGGCTCTCGTGGCCTCATGGCTAGCTCGTCTCCTGGTATTTTGCTGGCTGTCAGCATGTTTTTGGGATTCCAGGTCAGCAGAACCGATAGGACATATTAACCAACTTATTTCTGTCTCTCTTTCCCTGAGTTATTCTTTTCCCTTTCTCCTGTAAATAAACCCATTCTTAGCCTTTTTGTGTATGCCTGCAGTTGAATGTTGCAAGTCCCTTTAATCGCATGGCTGAGGATCCAGTCAGGCCACCCAATTACAGTGGGTTGCCTTGTAACACAGACAGTGCCATTTTGTGCAGCTAGTCTCCTTTCTGCCCAAGTGAACTAGGACTCTAGTCCTGCTGTCTGTGGTCCTGCACTAACTGCTACAGTCACTAACCATTCACACAAATCCTTTAGATACTTTTAGTAGTGGCTCATAGCTGTGCTCCATCAGCAGCAGGGAAAGTCACCCACACCTGTAAATCAAAGATACCTAGAATCATGACTGTGTAAGACCGTACCCCAAATTTCAGAATTAGTTAAAAAACATTGCCTTCCAATAGAATTATAACTACTAGCACAAACAAACGTAGAAGAAACCTCCTTGTGATAAAAAAGCATTATCATTCCCTAATATGACACTACCTTTTCAGCAGCTAAATAAAAACATTACCAAATCATTTTATGTAATAAAATCTAACCTTATTTCAACCTTCCTCACAAAGCAAACAAATCTCTCTATCCAATAAGGTTCCATCTGAACTATGTAAGATGATAAGCAATACCTTAATTGCATTCATTTACATGACTTTGAAACTATTCTGGGCTGAAGTCACTGACTGCAAGGTCACAGAATACAAAAAAGTAAAATGTACGCATTTACCAAGGAAAAATGATCCACTTAGATGGTGGAGTAGCATTTTCTTTCTCCCTCATAAGGAATGACCACATGCTTAATGGGATCAACAGGTGCAGACATCTCAGGATGAAATACAGAATACCACATACACACGCGGATTTTACTGATAAATGTATATATATATATATATGTGTGTGTGTGTGTGTGATATGTATTGAAGTGTGTAAGTTCACGATATATTATGGTTTTCTTGTTAAATTTAATTTGATTGAATTGAGGCAAAGAGCAATTCTATGCCTTAAAAACAATTAAAATCAAAACATAAAATAGGGCTTTTTGTATTATATTATAAAAATTTCTAACAACTAAAATCAGGTTACTATGTTATAATGATTTTAGAACAAGAATTGTAAAACCAACATGCTAATTATTTTAAGACTTTCTGCTTTCAGTTTTTTCTAAACTAAAGAATCATACATTCGTCTAATTTGTTTAAAAGAGCGGCCCTTACATGTCTCAAACAATTAATACCACATCAGTAAAAGAAAGAAAATGCAATAGGCTGACAGAAATTTACTGACAGTAATTTAGATTATAGGAGACAGGTGGTTCTTCAGAACCTGAGAATGTATCAAAACACAGAAAAACAAGTTAAAATACTATAAAATATTCCTCATTAGTTTAAAGTTCTAACACAACTAGACATTATTAGCATTTTAGCTTACTGTATAAAAGAGAAGAAAACACAAAGATTAGAATCTAGAGTATTTTAAAAATATTTATTACATGGGCAAGTGTAAAATTGCTTTAGGTTTAATATAACTTCACCAGAAGATTCATTTAAGAAGTTTCTGTCCACTGAATTAGATCAATTAGATCTCCCACAATGAATTTACTGCCCAAGCAGTTTTATACTACTCTAGCAAGTCTTCTGCAATTTAGAAATGATTGCATGAAAGAGAAGCAAATTTTGTTTACAAAACTTAGGTTTTCACTTCTCTATGTGGAAGGGGGCAAGACTTCTTAGAATTAAATTTTTATTGAGGTAATTGGTTCACAATACCACATATTATTCAAAAAAACAGGATCACACCTCTTAGATGTATGGTAATACACCATATCTATCTCAAGACACCCACTGACTTTTTTCCCTGTAAATTTGTTTTCAGAGCCAAATCATTTCAATTATGCCACTCTATAAAGAACTGTTTAAGTACGATATTCCTAAGTAAATCCCATTACCAGGATGTCACTTGGTGCTTTCTAAATTAGAAATAAAGTACTCAATTTCTATATGTAAGTTACGGGGTTAAAGAAAAATGCACACACACATATATTTAAAGTACCAGCTACTTTAGTACTTCAGTGATCCATTATTAATTTTCAGTTATCATATCTTCTCTCAATATTTAAATTTTTGTTCTAAAAGAAAAAATCTGGGCTCTAGCATAATATATATATTCTGTATAAATGTGTAACAGGAAATTCAAGGTTTACATTCTTTGACAGGTATAAAAGCACTAGGACCAATCAGAATCTTCTCATATTGTTTCCAGTGTCCTTGATTATATTTTCATTTGTCTCAAATCTCACACTGAAGATAATTTTCTGATTAAGATTATAACATTTTGTTACTTCTCAAACGCTTCCCTTTATAAATTCATAAGGTTATGGAAAGCTTTATTTACTTTCTTAAAGTTCACTGATTATAACCACAATATTTAAAAAGTTCTTTTTCACCCACATAAAAGTTGGATTTTCCTTCCCTTGATCATGGAGAATATGTTAATGTTCAATGTCATTTTTATAACCACAATCTAGCCTTTGTGTACAATGGAATACAACCTTGAACTGAAAATGAACTATTTTAATGGCATCCGTCTTACAGCTCTCAAAGCTTAAGAAAGAAATAAGTCTGAGTCTAGGTTTAGACTTCATCTTAACAACATGCATCAATCTCAGGTGAGCAAGGTAAATCCTGCTCGTAAAGCAAGAGTGCACACACACGCACACACACACCCCTGCACCTTCACATCTCTCTTCATTTTTTCTTTTCCTGTTACTCTTCCATAGGAGGTCAGTGAACAAAATACTATACTTATTTAAATGAAGATAAACTATACAGCAGTCTGAAATGAGTGGCCTAAATAAAGAAACTTAGCAATTCATTCATATGTAAGAGCAAATTCTCTAACTGAGAGAGCTGCTCAAATAATACCTGAAAAAGAAAATGTGACTCAAACTGTAAGGAACAGGCTAAAAACACTCCCCAAAGCCAAGGACCTACATACAGCACACCATACCCCCATATGAAACATCTGCCACAGAATATGCTAATTCACAATGCCAGCTAGGAAATATTTTTCTATCTCACCTGTTCCCCCACCCATTTGCATTTCACTCCATAAAGAGCAGTTATCCCCCATTATAAAAC